TTTCTTATTTCGAGCATAAGTATAGCTACTTTCTTCATTTGGGACAAATAGTGGAGGCGTTATCGGCAATTAATCCCACTTTGAGTGGGCAGAGGGCTTGGATATATATATACCAAAACGCGCAACTATATATTCATTGGCTCTCCATAGCGACGAGAGGTAAAAAAAACAGAACGTATGCATTACACGCACACCCTTCCCGTCCCTCTAATATCACGACTCCGACGTGCCTATGTTCCCACCTTCGCAATGTGTAATCATCAGCGCACCGCCCACGAGAGTGTTATAGACACCACACACGCTTATTTCTCCGCGACGCAAAATGTGTATCATACACTAGTATATAAATATGCGTGTGCTCAACAACCCCTCGGCAAGCTATATATATATATATACTCATACAGATAGCTCGTCTCTTTCGCGTTGCCCGCACACCCTTTTCTCCCTTTGCTCGTTTTCAACCCGCGCATATACGATGACGTCTCTGTTATATTATGGGGTAGTGGCTGATGCTCTGCTTGCCGCACTTCGCACTTCATGCTAATTCCATCGATCCGTTTTAAGCCCCCTTCTTTCTCCCCCATCCCCTTTTTTTCTTTTTCTTTTTTTTTTTTTTTTATCTCGCAAGCAGGGAGAGCCCGTGTGTGCGATGGTTTCATTCGTATGTTATTGGGATCGTATATAGGATTCGTCGGCGGAAAAACAAGGGGAGGCCTGTATATACACGAGGATGTATGCAATTATTAATGTATACGTATAAGGGAGGAAATTCTACATTACGAGTGCGATGAGATGATGATGACTACTTGTTTACAAGTCTACCTGAACACAGTGTTTGCGCGATCATTTTTTTTTTTTTTTTTTTTTGTTTTGTTTAATGTGAATAAACTTTGGTTTTTCTTAAAAATACGCTTGATTTCGGTAAAGAAAAACAAAGGTAAAAAGATACAGTTGGCCCCCCATCCTTCCTCATCCCGGTACACCTACACTCATGCATAGTGAGAAAAGCAGTACTTGTACGTCGACGAAACCCAGTGAAGCTCACGTATACACGACGACAACGAGCAAACGCAAAAAGTCACCACCGAGCCCAACCACTACATATTATGTTATACCCCGGCTGCCTGATGCGAATATTCGATTGTCGTGTACATGTAGCTTCGCTGATGTAACGATGCTCCGTCTACAAGTATATATACTTCGCGTGCAGCGATGATGTATTGAAAGGCGTTTAAGTGCTGCCCCCCCCCCCTTTGCCCGTTTTCCCCTTCCGGCGGCAAAGTCGACTTAATTAGCTCGAACGAGGAAGAAAGGGGTGGGCTTGTAACAACGAGGGTGCCCGCGCACGACTGTACGAGACCCAATTTGCCGAGGTTACAGTGAGTGGCTCGACGACTGAGTTGTTATTTGTTTTTGTTGTTTTTTTTTTTTCCGTTTCCTGGAAACGTCTGAGAAGAACAATAATTATGCCCACACGTGGGGTATATATTATATACCTGGCGCTTTGAGATTACCGCGTAGTTTCGCTAATTGCGGCTTTGAAATTGTACACGCCAGCCTCACCGAGAATATATTTCCTTCGACCCGCGATACGGTGTTGGGTATATAAATATGTGCTCGTACAACAGTTCGCGGGCTTATCTGTGTCGGGGGGGGGGGGGGTCGCGAAACTAGAGCCCGGCCAACTGTTGTCCGCGAGCATCGGTTGCCACGCGTGGGCACATAAACTCCTTAAGCGTATAAAAGGAACCGCAAAACCCTTTCATCCCAAGACTGGTGCAGGGTATATATTGTATGATTACCTATACACATGCACTCGCCAAGTGCCGCCCGAGGCGTGCATTTCTTTTTTTGTTCTCTGGTGTGGAGTGCGTATACATTATGTATTACTACCACAACGACGACAAAGAACACACGGCACTTTGTGCGACAAACCCCTTCGCTTCGGGGCTTGCGTGTATATATATAATGTACCACAAATCCTCATCTCCATCGAGTGTGACGAACAAGGAAATTGAATTCCGTCGAAAAAGAGTAGGTGAGCGACGATGACGTCGAGTGTCCGTGTACGTGGAGTACTTGGCTGTTTCCTTTCGCCGTGCCCATGGTATAAAATAATCGTGCACGAGGACACGTCAATTTAACGAGGCCACGGTTTACATGTACTGCGGACGGCATTCTTCTTAATTTGTCACATGTTGTGTCGCATGGCACTTGTGGCCCCGCACAACACAGCCACGCGGGCCTTTTGTCCGCGACTGTCGTACTTTCGATGACGGATATACTGCTGTTGTTGCTCGGATCTAGCTATCCACGACTAAAACAGATCTGGATATACTTTCACCGCAGTAGGTATATATCGTAGTATCCCAGCCACCGATTACCATTTCCCTCGAACGTTGAAATTGAAAAAAAAACGCGTACATTGACTTGCTGACTATTTTCTTTTTTTTTTTCTACCTCTCGGTCGGAGCTCTCGTGTCGACTTTTTTTTTCCCCCGTGACTCCCGAGGGCTGTACGTATGCAAGGATAACAATAGCCCTGTCAAAGGTCGCGTTCGCGGGTATACAGTGGGTATCGATACCGCGCTACGTACGTGCATATATATATACGAGAAGAACAAGAGCGCGCACATACACACACACACACACGAGAAAAACTGTCGTGTGTACGTGGGGCTCTCTGGATCGCTGACGCGGACAGAAGAGCCCTTTATGCGCGCGTCTGGGGTGAAAGTTTTGAAAAGGTGCCCGCGAGCATATGTATATAATACCTGTGTACACACTAGGTGAGGCCAAGGAAGAAAAACCAAGAGTAGATTGTAACGTGGTGCCACGTTTTCCGGGAGTTTTGAGGCCGGTCAGGAAAAAACAAAAAAAAAAAAAAAAAACGTCGAATCCACGAGGATAGCACGAAAAACGGCAACCAACCGAGCAACAGGTCGAGTAAAACACGGGATCCAATTGCTAATAATCACGTCGCGCCCTTTGCTCTCGAAAAAATCCCGTATCCACCTGCAGGCCCCTCCTCCCCCCTACGTTATACACGCGTGAGCTCCCGTCGGCAGGCGAGCCGAGAGAGAAGCGGGAATTGGCCGTGGGACGTGTCACTCCGAGTCCCGCGAGGCTTTTCCCGATATATAATAATACACACCGGGCAAGCAAGCAGCCCATTCCTCGGCACGTCATCGCGCCGCGGCGTTGAAACGTCCTGACGTCTGTCTTGGACCCCCGGGGTGTGAATACGCGTGGGGCGAGGCTGGCCCTATACAGCACGTATAATTCGAGCCGACGCCCCCCACCAACTTTCTCCCGATATTTTTCTCCAGATCGGCGCTCCCGCGGTCGTGTGTTGGGTGCATACGCGCAAACTGCGCGCTTTGTGTTGTCCTATACAAGTCCGATTGTCTCGCTTTGAGCTCGGGGGTAATTGAAGCGGTACAGTTCGAAGAGAGAGGGAAGGAAAAAATGTACGTGCCGAAAAGTGCGATCCCTCTTGAAACAAGTGCAGATGGAGTCCCGGGAAAAACGAAAAAAGGGGAGTCGTTTCGGTGGGCATAAATCATAACGTATATGTATATATATACCCGGGATATCTGGCGCAGGAGTGTGTATTATACATCCCGCAAGGACTCTCGTCTATTTCCGTCCTCCTTTTTTTCCCGTGCGCGCGTGCCAGAACGTCTTTTATACGGACCCCTCGTACATACCGGGCTCCGCCTTCGCGAGGAAATTTATACGGGGTGTAAGTGACAGGAGCACCGCCGCGATGGGTGTACTCGCGTATGGATGAAGGAAAGCGCGCGCGGCGTCTCCTGGAAAAGAACAAAAGATAATGGCGGGGAGAAAGAGGATGGCGTGCGCGAAAATAAGTGATAGAAGATTCCTTTTTCCGGAGGTTCTTGGGATCGGCGCTTCGCGAGGGTTGTGATTTGCCGACCGACGTGATACGCGAGTGATCATTGACTACATATTTTGTGGCGATTCGTGGCTGAAAAATCGGGGAAACGGTACCGATGGCAACCATACACAGCTATAATCATGGGAAAACAAGGAGCGAAACGAGAAGAGAATGAATAAAAAAAGAATACACGGGACATTACGCAAAGGTAAATAACTTGCGCGTTCCCTCGGGGGAGCGTATCGCGTGTATACAACGTGAGAGATACGGGACGCGTGCAAGCGTAAAAACACGTATAATGATAATAATAATAATAATAACTCAAGCCGGAGGTAATTAACTGCCGCCGTCGGCGCGGGAAACTTTGCCCGGCGTGTACATCGTTTTAATTACCCCGCGCTCATCCTCGCGTTTCATCGTACGGAGAAATCGTGCGTCCCCCCCCCCCACTATTTCTCCCTTTTGACTTATTATCCTTTTTCTCGTATATTCTCGGTATTTACATCACAATTACAATATATAATATGCATAGGTACACGTATAACACGTGTAGCGCTCGAGAGAGACGAACGATGGTAAACGTAAGGGTGAGTATTGATAATAATACGTTCAAATACCTTCATTACAAATATTGTTTTTGTCTTACTTGTACCCTTAATTGTCACATCACTATGAGAGCACGCGTGATTGGCCGACCCGCTAACCGACCTCTCGAGCGTGTAGCCCATTGGCACACCCATCAAGTGCACTTATGTACCCACCAGGTGGAACATGGCAAATATAATATACGCGTGTCTCTTGCATAGGTACAACCTACGTTGTTTTTTTTTTTTTCATAAGTACATGGCCGTTGTGTTGTAGCTGTCACGTAATAGCTGCATCGCGATCCAAATGCCGATTGCTCGGCCAAGCGTACACGAGGCGCTGCTATTGCAAGTACAATTATATAACCATGTAATATACGGTACGCCCAGCTTGCGTGTTGTTTTTTTTTATGTTTGTTCGAAAGAAAATAAATAATTTCTTACCATTAATTATTATTATTATTATTATTATTATTGCTGTTGTTGTCAACGAAATGCGTGTCTTCTGTTTGCAGGTTTCGTCGATAAACAGGGTGTTGCGAAACCTCGCGGCGCAAAAGGAGCAACGCCAACAGCACCAGCAGCAGCAACAGCAACAACAGACGGGCGTCGGTGGCGTGGGTGTGGGCGTGGGCGCGGCCAGTCCCGCGGAGAGCGTCTACGACAAGCTGAGGTTACTCAACGGCCAAACCACGGGCTGGCCTAGACCGAACCCATGGTGAGAACCTTATTTTATTTTTTTCCTCCGTCTTTTCTCCTATTATCCACCAACGCGTGTTCCATATATTATATTACATGTATGGTAAAAAATTGTAATATTAACGAGATTCACTTGCGCAGGTATCCGTCTGGAGCTGGTAGTCCCTTTTCGTCCCTGCAACCGAGCTTGAGCCCGAGCCACTGTACGGCCCTGCCTCCCGACCCTGCGGACATTCTGCACGCGAAAAAAGGTCAGTCTTCTTTACTCACATTACATACATTTTTTTTTTTTTTTTTTTTTTTTCTTTCCAAAAAGTGTTGATTCTTTTCCCATAAATTTTTCTTTTCGTCCAATGTGCCAATCAGAAATGCGATACTTGAAAGAAAACTTAATCCCTCACGCAGTTAAAGATAACACTCGAGCGCCCTGTCACCAAAAAAGTGAGCTACGGTCCCTCGATCATCATGATTATTCGTAACTTTAGCTGTAAAGCCCTTACCACCCACCAGTTATTAACATACGTATATTGTATATTTGTACTGTCACTGCACGGGACAATCCAACTCTCAACACATTCACTAAAGGGCTTTTTCAATCGCCAAACAAAAGTATATCATACGAATAACAACAACAATCGCCTATATGCGATGGGGGGGGGATAGCCGGGATTCACGTACAGCAGCTGGCCCTTTCAGCTCTTTGGCTGGCGTTTCCAAATAATTCGTTAACCCTATCCTCCACCACCTACGCGCATATTCATACATTCATAATACCTCCTCTGACCGTAGCACATATAATAACATACGCTGGAAGGGAGGTATAGAAGCGCAAGGCTATATAGCGCCCCATACCGTGGGCTGGTTAAGGTCCGACGAGCGTTTGTTATCCATAGCCGGAACGAGGGAGCGCGTGTATATATATATATATATATATATATGTATACGGCACAAAGGCGGCCCACAGTAGTAATACTACAGCAACATCCCCGGAGGAGAGTGGATGGGTAATCGCGCGTATGACCGCTGGTCTCTTGCTCGCGCCCCGCACGCGCTTTAATTAATTTATCCCACCCCGGACCACTTTGCGTGTGCCCGTGCGCGATTTACATGTACATGTGCTAATATCCGCGAGATGTATACGTACATATGTATATATATATACGAGCGTGGGCATATACTCTGTTGTGTGCAAAACGGGGGGGTAAGAGAGGGAGCTTTTGACGCGCCGCGATTGTTGGGTCATTATCTACCGGTGGGAGGTTGTTTGGGTGTGCACGTGCGTAGCTGGTGATGCATTTTATACCGCGCGCCAGAGGGTATTTGGTGCTGATGAGTGCGGATGTGGGTGTCTCTCTTTTGTCTCTGGAGGGATTTTCTGGAATTACGACGGCCGCGGATTCGATGACGCATTTTGGAGATCGACGACCGATTCGCGTGGAGGGATACGTTCATCGGAGCCGGATTTCAGCTGATTCACGGTTTTTACGTGAAATTTCGTTTTTTGTTTTTTTTTTGTTGCGGTATAGTAATTTCATTTTGCAACCAATAACACTTATTCGTCATAATACGCTAGTATAACGCCAGTACACGCCACCCGATCCACTGTTTTCTCGTTTTCGCACCCTCGCCGAATCAAAGTAAGCCTCTAATTCGTCGTCGATATGATCAGAGAGCCAGCCCGTCTTCCGTATATTCCATGCACTCCCTTCCCTTTGTGACTTTTATTTTGAGGTTGCGATGAAAGCGCCATGCGGGATCCCCCCCTTTACTGGAACAAATTCGAGACGATCCCGTTGTGATTTCGTTTGTCGAGTCAATCAATGACTGCCAATTTTTCTTTGTTTTTTTTTTTTTTTTTTTTCTTCTTTTACACGAGACAACGTACGTACGTACCGATCATTTTTATTTTCCTCAAAAATTTACATCATTTATTTATAACGCCGGTAATCCTCGCTCGGACTACTTGTCAACGTGGCAGTAGAGTGTGCACGTGGCATAAAACTATACAAGCAAAACCGTACAATATAATAGTATACATCCAGCAGACTCAGCTCTTCCTTTGGCGGCGCACATCAAACGCGAAATTTCTTTCTCCTCGACGCGACACTTTCCCTTTCTCTCCCTCGCGTGTTATACGCACACACTCGTCCGCTCTCTCTCTCTCTCTCTCTCTCTTTAGCAGCACATAGACCGAGTGTCGCGAGCAGCCCCGCACCCCCTCGAGAGAGAAAAAGATCTTCTCGCGCCGCAAGGGCTCTGCCGCGTGCACGCTACAGTGTGTGTATGCACGGCGTTAAAAATACCCCACGACGAGGCTCGGTGTAATTTTAGCGCGATAATCGATCCTGGCGATATCCACCAGCTCGGCTCTCTCTCTATGATGATCATGATGATGATATTGCGCTTATACATATAAGAGATAATACCATTACATCGTGCCTATATGGAGCGCGCATCCTGTACAATACAGGTATATATACAGGATGCGCGCTCTAGTTATATAATAACAGTTTTTTTTTTTTTTTTTTTTTTTTTCTTCTTTTACACGAGACAACGTACGTACGTACCGATCATTTTTATTTTCCTCAAAAATTTACATCATTTATTTATAACGCCGGTAATCCTCGCTCGGACTACTTGTCAACGTGGCAGTAGAGTGTGCACGTGGCATAAAACTATACAAGCAAAACCGTACAATATAATAGTATACATCCAGCAGACTCAGCTCTTCCTTTGGCGGCGCACATCAAACGCGAAATTTCTTTCTCCTCGACGCGACACTTTCCCTTTCTCTCCCTCGCGTGTTATACGCACACACTCGTCCGCTCTCTCTCTCTCTCTCTCTCTCTTTAGCAGCACATAGACCGAGTGTCGCGAGCAGCCCCGCACCCCCTCGAGAGAGAAAAAGATCTTCTCGCGCCGCAAGGGCTCTGCCGCGTGCACGCTACAGTGTGTGTATGCACGGCGTTAAAAATACCCCACGACGAGGCTCGGTGTAATTTTAGCGCGATAATCGATCCTGGCGATATCCACCAGCTCGGCTCTCTCTCTATGATGATCATGATGATGATATTGCGCTTATACATATAAGAGATAATACCATTACATCGTGCCTATATGGAGCGCGCATCCTGTACAATACAGGTATATATACAGGATGCGCGCTCTAGNCCTTTGTTTATTACTTTTTTTTTTTTTTTTTTTTTCCATCCGTACGTACATGTTTTTTACCAATCTCTGCCCTCTGCTTTAATATTTTCTTCGTAATTAGGTTTTTCCCTCCCCCGTTTTATCTTTTCTTTTTGTGTTCATCCGAAATGTCTTACCTTTTCCAAATTCAGTCACGCTGGGGAAACAACCTTGCGCATCCTTTATTCGTCAGTCATCACTTGTGACATGTTATACGACCGTGAAAAAAAAAAAAAAAAAAAAAAAAACAAGTACACGCGTGTAGCGCCCGCGGGTTCGGCTGTTCGTGAACGGTAGCAGTAACGGAGGAGATGGAGGCATAGTGCCTTTGGGGTAAAAGCTGTGCCGTAAAGCGAAAGCAGATTACGGCGCAATCATCGCGCCGGGACTTGGACTCGGTTCTCCCTGCGGGTCTGGAACGGGACCCTCACCCCCCTCCCTTTCTTATTGAAGGATCCTTGGGTTCTTGGCGTCTTGTATTTTCGAGGAACGTGTATCATCAGCATCGAGGGTTTATTTATCCGTTGGGTGATGAGGGGGGGGGGGGTTGTATAATCTACAACGGCAGTGGGTGGGTGGGTGGTTTTTACACTTGTACGTAACTGCATGATTTGGGGTGAAATTTAGGGGTGTCAATTGCAACAATATTATTTAAAAACAAAAGCATCACATGAAGCCTGCATTGGAGTAGTTCAATATCAATTAGTTGGTTTACACAATACTGTCTTTTTTTTTTTTTTTTTTTTTCGTTACTTTTGTTTACGTAAAAATAAAATAAAATAAAAATAATTTTAAAAAAAGATCCTTTTACGAGAGCGAGTCGGGCCCTCGCAAAAACAAAAAGCAAAGTGATCAATATGAAAAAGTGCAAGGAGAAAAATTCGCGAGCTCCAAAAACGAAACAATGGCAGCTGGCCGGGGAAAGGAGACATCGGCGAAAAAAGCCGAGCCACGGGAGCGTCTCTCTTTCCTCGTCATTGGCACAAAGAGTGTGTAAGCTCGACAAGGAAAAGAGCACGCGGATGTATGAAAAAAAAAAAGCTAAAAGCTGCCATCAACCGTACACGCAGCTCAGGTCGTCGACAATGACTCTCCTCCAGAGAGACGTACGGAAGAGACATTCGCGCCGTTGTTTCGAATGCAGGGGCTCCCCGTGTGCATATTTTTTGTCGTAGCCCCGCGTAGGGGGTTGCAAAGGTGGACTCTTTCTCCGGGTAAGAAGGCATAGCAGCAGGAGGAAAAAAAAAAGAAAAAAAAGAAAAAGAAAAATAAACGCAACCAAAGGCGGGAAAGAAAGAGCCAAAGGGTCTCATTGTTTTTTTCTCATCCGCGTCTCTTCTACTATACTCCCCTTTCTTTTGCCTCGCATTATGCCCCGCTCTCCTTCTCTCCCGTATACGCGTGTATCGCTATGAATGCAAGCTCCTTTCGACAATTTCAATAACGCTGACGCTGATGGCGTACGTACACGCGCGCGCGCGCGAAAGGTAAGCGATCGGGGAAAGGAGTCGAGATTTTTTTTTTTTTTTTTTTTTTTTTTTTTTCAGCCCCGCATATACAGCATACATGGTGCACGAAATGGAGAGTTTTCCTTTTATCGTATAGGCAAAGTTTTTCGGCGGAGGATATATCAAAAGCACCTCCCACCCTCCAGCCTTTTTTTACGGCAAGGCGTTCTCCCCACCCCTCGCCCTCTCTTCTATTATTACAAGAGATTAAACGAAGAGTTATGGAATTTTTTAATACGATCCTTTGGCCCCCTCCGTCGAGTTTCCTCGGCCGCGCGTATACTCTTTCAACCTGCTCCGACTTTTTTCCTTTTTGTTTGCTCCAAAGTTACGGATTCCGGTGCTGAGGGGGGTAGGGGTGGCAAGGAACTTTAACACAATCATGGGAAAATGATTAACTTTTTTAATTAACCTTCTCTTTTCCTTTCGTATACCAATGTTGACGAGCAAAGACATAGATAGTGCCACCCCCCCCCCCGACATAACGTGGAAGGCAGGGTTGTGTTTTCGTAAAAATCCGGGCGTAGCGGAGCGTGAAAGCCAAGATCGGCGTC